TGCATCATGAATGCATTACTACAATTTATGCCAGTTGTCAATAATTGTCCGCAATTCACGACACCAGTATCTGGACATTGGCCGTTGGCGCCAGGTTTATTGCATAGTCCACAGGTTTGAGGACATCCTGCTAATGCCGCTGCGGCTGTGTTTGGGTTCGTGCACAAATCTGGTGCCGCCGTAAATGCACCGCAATCACCAGCGGCTGAAATGCAAATCGTGTTTATATGCTGAGAAAGTTGTTTGGTGTATTTACTTATTTTCACTTAATTTCCTGAAGAAATCGTCTTCTCATTAAGTTGGTTTGTACAATAAGAAACATACAATTTTGGCAACTAAATTCAGGCGTTAAGCAACAAACTGCGCATGAGGAGGGACACAAAGCTTCAGCAGCTGTAAGAACAGTCGCGTTTTGGCAGTTGGGATTGACCAAAAACGCATTTGTTCTGCAATAGATTTTTTATTAATAAAAAAGCAAATCGAATAAAGAACCACAAAGCTGGAAAGAAGAAACGTACGCAACTGCATTATCTGCTAAAGCGCCCGATCGAACGGCAAAAATGGCACTGCAAATAGTTGGATCTTTGTCCTTACAAGCTGATGGAAGCGGCAATGGACGAGCGACGGCTCCAGTATTAGGATCAAGGCATTTTGTTAGCGGGACGCCATCTCCCGATTCACCTCTGCGCACAAATATAAGAGCTACTAATAGGACGAACATTACCAAATGGCATGGCTATCCACAATTCGCCGTTTTTATATGCCATCCAAAAAAAGATATAAAATGGTGCCACCTGTTGACCATGAATCGCCTACTTTTATCCTACGGTAAACAGTGGTTATTCTATTTATTTTATTTATATTTTATTCTATTTATATTTATATTTTATTATTCATATGATTATCGATGTTTGAATATTTCTTTCATATTTGGTTAAATCATGGAAATAATTTTTTTAAAGCAATAACTGAAATTAATTTCTAAATTTAAGTTTAGTGCCGGTGGGTTTTTTTTCAAATTATTTTTGAAATGAAACTGAGAAATTTTATAGAAGGAATTTTGTTTTCAGTGATCATTTCTTTAATAATTCTTTAAATGCGAATAATTTCCACCAAAATGGAATAATCTCCATTTGTCTGAAATTTAAAGCAGTGAAATTGCCGAAAGCGCTGATATTTTCAAATATCTTCAGCATCCTTCATTCTTTCTTTTATGGTTGTGGCTTACTGAGATAATTCTCAAAAATGGTGACTGGGCATAATTCATAAATCAGCGAGACTACTGGATATCTCTGGGAAGAATTTGCTCCAGAACTGACTAATGGTAGTAGGTAGAACCTAAACGAACGGTATCTTAAGGCAAATGACCTGATACTTATTCCAGGAACCGTATTAAAATAAAATTTGAAATACCCTCGTTTCTTCTTTTATTAATATCAGCCTTTGACCGCTTATGTCCAAGATATATTTTACGTATCCTTCGAGCGGATAAAATCGCACATGTTTTATCTTCGAATACCATCAATACCATCTATATTAATAATGCTGTCACAGAGCGTCGCTTTCGTTGCTTAGGGAACGTTCTCCACCGTCCACCACAGGAGTTGATGCATATTTCGTTAATTGTTAGATCCTGTAATGGTTGGTATCAAAAGCGAGAAGAACCAGTTAAGACCTGGACTGAATCAGGAAAGAATAATAAAAAGAATAAAAATTAGTTGAATTTTTGACCGATATGGTTTGTAGCCATTTAGAAAGACAATCCAAATTGCTAAAATTATAAAAATATTATAATAGTAATATTATAAAATTATAATAGTTTTTAAAAAATGCCAAAAATATAAAAATGCAACTATTTAATTTTATAAGAGTTGAATAAAAGAATAAAATTACGCATGGTTTAAGCTGTTCAACTGCTACGAATTGCCTTAATTTATATTAATGAATATTTATGAATATTTATTTAAATTATTGAGGTTTAAAAGTATTTAAAACTATTGGAGTTTGAAAAAAAAAGTATCTTTATCTTTAATATTTTCGCACATTTTTCATGAAAATTTATGAAAATTTCATGATATTTTGAATTTCATGAATTTTTATATTTTAAAAGAAATAATAAATGATAAAATATTTAATAGAGCAATAACCTATCACCATAAATATATTCGATTATTCAACAGTCGAAATAATAATTATAGTTTTTATACAGGTAAGGACAAATGACCAAGTGGCCAAGTGACGCAGCAATTGGACTATTGTTTCAGCAACTCGAACTCTAATTTTGGAATAGGGAATAAAGTTGTCTGTCATTATAAATCTGAATGATGCCCAAGGCTCGCTTATGCTTTCTTCTCTAAATGGTTCTTTAGCGAAAAAGCCCTATCTATGCTAATTGCCGTAAAGTGGACCATAATGGAAATGATGACTTTTGCCCAACTAACTAACAATTTGCTGTGAAATCTACTGGCACTTATATTATTCCTGAATTGCTTCCCTATTGCTGTTAAAATTTTCAAAATTGTCTTCAATTGTTCAAAATCTCAAAAAATTAAAATTCTTTGGAGTCGCTGATGCAATTCACTACAAATTTAACTCTCAGTAGCGATGCCAAAAATAAAAATTTTATTATATTTGCACTTTCGTTCTAAATAGGAAGTTTTTTTGAGGCTTTTATCTGCAGCTGAATAAATTCGTGCGCATCGCAAAAAAATAACAAAATAATAAACGATTTGCACGAAAGGCCCTACTTAGACTTTTTATGAACATATTGAACTCTTTCAACAATCTAAACCATTAAATATTCCTTGTTTCCTGGACTTTGTCTCAGTACGTTGGGACCGCTGCCTTGGGCCAATTCAAAGAAAAGTTACAAGTTAAAAATTAGAAGACTAAAATATTAAAGTAAATAAAATAATTAAAAATCAAAACATCACGAAAAGTCGAATGGAAAAGATGAAATCAACAGATGGGAGAGTTCATTTGATAAAAAGACTAATCCTTGAAGAAAAGACTAATCCTTGCAGTTCAGCTGCTCGAATGGATTGTCAAAATTGCACAGTAAAAGTTTAAAAGGTCTCAACTATTGGAAAACTATTCAGAGGCGCGCAAGAGTAGGGAAGAAAATTTGTAAAATTTGCATTTCGCTCTTTTGTCATTTTAACATTGCAAATTAGCATTTCAAATTTGTTAAATATTAATTGGTCTTAGTTAAGAGATTTTTTTTTCGGAAAGGTTTATTTATTAAAAACCTATTCTAAATGGGAAATCAGAAATTGAAAAGAATCAGAGATAAAATTCCATCCACATTTTTAATTTAATGTTTGCTAATTAAGCGATCCGATGATATCAAACAAATATTATCCTAGATTTAGCATCGTTTACTATAGCAAAATAAAGCTATCCATGAATATAATTCGAAGAAAAGCATTATTTATTATTTATCATTAATTTTTTAATTATCTGCCCGTTTATTCAGATGCAAACATTAATTTATCCAACTATGGTATATTGCATTCAAACTCATTTTATCAGTTTTTGATGATCGTAATCACCAATAAAAAAATATTACCATGAAAGGCTTCCATCATCATTTTCAAAATTTGAAAAAAAATAACAAGCATGCTTGCGATTTTTGTGTTAAGTTTCATGCGAGAAGCATAAATTTTTCTGAAACCTTCCAAAAATATCATTGTATTCAATATTAGCGATTCGAAAATATTCAAAAGTGGCTAAATAGATACGTTTTCAACAGATCTCCACGATCTAAAGAAGGATCCATCAGAAGCATTTCATACTCCAGGAAAATCGCATGGATTTTGTTTACATTATGTTTAACTATGCCATATGTGAATGGTTCCAAAAAAATTAAGATTTCTTCAGCAAACAATAATCTAATACGTGACACCTGGAACAGATATTAGGACGCTAGCTTTATGCTCATGTTCGCTTGGGTTCTGCCTATTGCCATTAGTTAATTCTGTAGGGACGTGCCAAAATCTTTCTACACGTTACGGTGCTTTATGATAGTTCTATACAGTTGTTCAGCCACTTTTCTTAAGAAATATCCTAGTAGACCACAATCGCAAAAAAAGAAACCGTGATCGGCACTGAAAAAAGTGTAAAGACGATATCCCACAAATGATTATCTTCGGTTTTGCTGCCTTTAAATTTCAGAATAGCAGATATTATACTGTTTTTTCTGGAAATTATTCGCATTTAAGAAATTATTAAAAAGTAAAATGTGGAGAAAAGATTGTTGAAAACAAAATGTTCCATTTTCAAAAATATTTTAAAAAAATTTACTGATTGAAGAAAAAAGTAAAAATTTTTTCGAATAATTTAAAAAAAAAATATTTTAAAAATAAAAAAAATTTCCCATATAAAAATATGGTCGATTCTATAAAAATGAAATGAACACTAGCATTTTGATAATTTATAATTTTGATAATTATATTTTATAAAATATAATTTATAAAATAGAATCCAATAAGGATTATTTACCGTAAAATATAGCGATTCATAATCGACAGGTGAAACCATTTTATTTCCTTTTTTGGATAAAACGGTGAACTGTGGGCAGTCATGTCATTCGGTGATGTTAGTTGCTTTTATATATTTGTGCGCAGAGGCGAATCGGAAGATGAAGGAGTTCCACTAACTAAGTTCCTTGCTACTTCAAATGCTGTTCCTATTGTCCTAAACTGCAGTTTCCATCAGCAAAGATAAAGATAAAGATCCAACGATTTGCACTGCCATTTTTGCCGTCCGATCAGGCGCTGTAGCACCTAATTCAGTCGCGTATGTTTTCTAAGTTTATCTTTCTAGCACTCTATTTGCTTTCGATTCGATTTACCCGAAAAAAATTCTCTTCCAAAGCAAATCCGCTTTTAATCAATCCTGATTGTCAGAATTGATTGTGATTGTTAAGGCTGCTGTTGAAGCTTTGTGATCCTCGTCATGTGCAATTTGCTGTTTAACGTCTGATTTTAATTGCCAAAACTGTATATACCAGTTTACTTGATATTGTTGTTGAGGTTGTAATTTTCTCGAATAATATTTCGATAAATACATCTAATAACTTAGACATTATGCGCAGGCTTTCTTTATTTTAGCTCCTAACTGCGATGGGTTTTCGGCGGCACCAGATTAATCCCAAACACAGTCACAATAGCTTTAGCATGTGATACCCTCAAACATGTGGACTATACAATAAACCTAGTGCTAATAGTTGCTGTCCACACACTGCTCTCGTGAACTGTGGTCAATTCGAATAGATCAACTGGACATACAAATGCATCGAATATACGTGAGGGGCAAGAAATTTCACAACACCAATGTAATTGACAACTGACGTAAATTGTAGTAATTGACATTCATGGTGCAGGTTTGCATGGGAGCTCGCAAAATAATAACTTGTTTATGTATGTTTGCATTTATCGAACATTGTTTTTTTGTGGGAATTGTTTCTTCGACTCTTATCGTTGCATAAGCAAAATAATATAAAATAATAATAGTTTTTGCAGTTTGAAATACTGGTGAAATCACCAGGAGCGTTTTTGGTCTTTACGGAAAATTTTTTAATGAAATCTGATTGAAAATTCGTTC